GTATGTGCACGAAGAGTTTCTGGGTGAAGAGTCTCTGGGTGAAGAGTCTCTGGGTGAAAAGTCTGTGCAAGAAGAGTTTCTGGGTGAAGAATCTCTGGGTGAAAAGTATATGGGTGACATGTATGTGCAAGAAGAGTTTCTGGGTCAAGAGTCTCTGGGTGAAAAGTATCTGGGTGAAAAGTATGTGCAAGAAGAGTTTCTGGCTGAAGAGTCTCTGGGTGAAAAGTATATGGGTGAAACGTATGTGCAAGAAGAGTCTCTGGGTGAAAAGTATATGGGTGAAAAGTATGTGCAAGAAGAGTTTCTAGGTGAAGAGTCTCTGGGTGAAAAGTATATTGGTGAAAAGTATGTGCAAGAAGAGTTTCTGGGTGAAGAGTCTCTGGGTGAAAGTATATGGGTGAAAAATATGTGCGAGAAAAGTTTCTAGGTGAAGAGTCTCTGGGTGAAAAGTATATGGGTGAAAAGTATGTGCAAGAAGAGTTTCTGGGTGAAGAGTCTCTGGGTGAAAAGTATATGGGTGAAAAGTCTGTGCAAGAAGAGTTTCTGGGTGAAGAGTCTCTGGGTGAAAAGAATATGGGTGAAAAGTATGTGCAAGAAGAGTTTCTGGGTGACGAGTCTCTGGGTGAAAAGTATATGGGCGAAAAGTATGTGCAAGAAGAGTTTCTGGGTGAAGAGTCTCTGGGTGAAAAGTATATGGGTGAAAAGTATGTGCAAGAAGAGTTTCTGGGTGAAGAGTCTCTGGGTGAAAAGCATATGGGTGAAAAGTATGTGCAAGAAGAGTTTCTGGGTGAAGAGTGTCTGGGTAAAAAGTATATGGGTGAAAAGTATGTGCAAGAAAAGTATATGGGTGAAAAGTATGTGCAAGAAGGTTTTCTGGGTGAAGAGTCTCTGGGTGAAAAGTATATGGGTGAAAAGTATGTGCAAGAAGAGTTTCTGGGTGAAGAGTCTCTGGGTGAAAAGTATATGGGTGAAAAGTATGTGCAAGAAGAGTTTCTGGGTGAAGAGTTCTGGGTGAAGAGTCTCTGGGTGAAAAGATGTGAACAGTATATTGGTGAAAAGTATGTGCAAGGAGAGTTTCTGGGTGAAGAATCTCTGGGTGAAAAGTATATGGGTGAAAAGTATGTTCAAGAAGAGTTTCTGGGTGAAGAGTTCTGGGTAAAAAGTATATGGGCGAAAAGTATGTGCAAGAAGAGTTTCTGGGTGAAGAGTCTCTGGGTGAAAAGTATATGGGTGAAAAGTATGTGCAAGAAGAGTTTCTGGGTGAAGAGTCTCTGGGTGAAAAGCATATGGGTGAAAAGTATGTGCAAAGAAGAGTCTCGGGTGAAAAGTATATGGGTTGAAAAGGATATGTGACAAGAAGAGTCTCTGGGTGAAAAGTATATTGGTGAAAAGTATGTGCAAGAAGAGTTTCTGGGTGAAGAGTCTCTGGGTGAAAAGTATATGGATGAAACATATGTGCAAGAAGAGTTTCTGGGTGAAGAGTCTCTGGGTGAAAAGTATATGGGTGAAAAGTATGTGCAAGAAGAGTTTCTGGGTGAAGAGTCTCTGGGTGAAAAGTATATGGGTGAAAAGTATGTGCAAGAAGAGTTTCTAGGTGAAGAGTCTCTGTGTGAAAAGTATATGGGTAAAAAGTATATGGGTGAAAAGTATGTGCAAGAAGAGTTTCTGGGTGAAAGTAAAAGTATGTGCAAGAATGGGTGAAGAAAAAAGTATATGGGTGACAATGTGCAAGAAGAGTTTCTGAAGAGTCTCTGGGTGAAAAGTATATGGGTGAAAAGTATGTGCAAGAAGAGTTTCTGGGTGAAGAGTCTCTGGGTAAAAAGTATATGGGTGAAAAGTATGTGCAAGAAGAGTCTCTGGGTGAAAAGTATATGGGTGCAAGTGCAAGAAGAGTTTCTGGGTGAAGAGTCTCTGGGTGAAAAGTCTATGTGCAAGAAGAGTTTCTGGGTGAAGAGTCTCTGGGTGAAAAGTATATGGGTGAAAAGTATGTGCAAGAAGAGTTTCTGGGTGAAGAGTCTCTGGGTGAAAAGTATATGGGTGAAAAGTATGTGCAAGAAGAGTTTCTCTCTGGGTGAAAAGTATATGGGTGAAAAGTATGTGCAAGAAGAGTTTCTGGGTGAAGAGTCTCTGGGTGAAAAGTATATGGGTGAAAAGTATGTGCAAGAAGAGTTTCTGGGTGAAGAGTCTCTGGGTGAAAAGTATATGGGTGAAAAGTATGTGCAAGAAGAGTTTCTAGGTGAAGAGTCTCTGTGTGAAAAGTATATGGGTAAAAAGTATATGGGTGAAAAGTATGTGCACGAAGAGTTTCTGGGTGAAGAGTCTCTGGGTGAAAAGTCTGTGCAAAAAGAATTTCTGGGTGAAGAATCTCTGGGTGAAAAGTATATGGGTGACATGTATGTGCAAGAAGAGTTTCTGGGTGAGTCTCTGGGTGAAAAGTATCTGGGTGAAAAGTATGTGCAAGAAGAGTTTCTGGGTGAAGTCTCTTGGTAAGAAGTATATATGGGTGAAAAGTATGTGCAAGAAGAGTTTCTGGGTGAAGAGTCTCTGGGTGAAAAGTCTGTGCAAGAAGAGTTTCTGGGTGAAGAATCTCTGGGTGAAAAGTATATGGGTGAAATGTATGTGCAAGAAAAAAAATTGGGTGAAGAGTCTCTTTGTGAAAAGTATATGGGTGAAAAGTCTGTGCAAGAAGAGTTTCTGGGTGAAAAATCGCTGGGTGAAAAGTATATGGGTGAAATGTATTGAAGAGTCTCTGGGTGAAAAGTTTGGTGGAAAATAGGGGTAGATGGGATGCTGGCTTTCGTTCCCCCCTTCTCAGGTTCTTGGGATTTTTGGGACAAAACCTGTGTATTTTTGGGCCTTGGCAGGGGCACCTTTACCTCTGTCTATTCCTCTACCGAGAAGGCTACAGGACGTCGCTATGCCATGAAAATCGTGGACCGATATCGCTGCGAGCGTCTGAAAAAGACAGCAGACCTGTACATGGAGAAGCATTGCCTGCAGAGGACGCGAGGGACAGGGATATTTTACTGATTACCCTCCAGTAAGCTAACATAGCCATGGGAAATCACAATTTTAATGGGTAAATCATGGTAAATCAGCTATAAATGAACAATTTTCCATAGCTATGTTGGTTTACCAGAAGATATCAATCAACATGGGGATGTTTACCACAATTTGGCAACAACAATGGGAATATGACCAGCAAAAGGATGAATAAATTGGGATTTAGTGGGTGGCAACCTGCTGGTGATCGGTATCTAAGATGAGCTCTAGACGGGTCACCCAACTGGGGCGTATGAAAACTGGGCATTCCGCCAAGAATGAAATTGAATCAGAAACGATTAAGCAGTGGATTGGAATATATACTGGCATGCTCCATTGTAGCTCAATCTCGACAATGCCATTTTCGGAAGTGTCACTGGAAATGGTGCTTACTGATTCATGAATGTGAGTGATCTTCGGGAAGGATAGTTTTTTTTCTTTTTTTTTTAAATTCACTCCAGGACCAACCACTGCAACATCATCAAAATGCTGGGCTGGTTCTCAGACAACACCAATATTTTCGTGATGCTGGAGGAATGCTTGGGGGGTGAACTGTGGGAGCTAATCAAGACGGTTGGCTGTCCAGTTCCACGAGCCCGCTACTATTTGGCGCAACTCATCAATGCCGTTACCTATCTGCGAGATGCCAGAATCTGGGTTCAGTGGTTTCGACACAAAAATGGGTTTGTCTGAAAATTGTGATCAAAAAAACCGAACTGAATTGTTTCTCCATGTTTATATATCCATGTTTTTTATCATTTTCAGACGAACCTATTTTTATTTTCAATCCCCCAAGAGACAGCGATGCTCCGCGGGTGGGGATGAGCGGCTCACTACCATTGACACATCATCTTTGGGCCGGTGCATTCCCATTGGATGAAAGGACACTTTACAGGAACGTCTCATTTTAATGGTCAAAAAACCATGGCTTTCCTGTAGGATTTTCCGTAAGGATACCCGGATACCGATGCATGGGCGCAACCAGGAATTGTTCACAGGGATTTGAAGGCCGAGAATGTGATGCTGACGGAGCTTGGTGTTGTGAAGTTGATTGACTTTGGCACTGCGAAGGACCTGGAAAATCCTCACATCAAAGGTCAGTTTACGGCTGAAACATGTTTTATTGTTTTAATCGAATCGGGACATGCGTTTCATATACATATATATATAGTATATACACACATATTATATATATATGTATATCTATATAGGCAAACTAGAGTCCTTTGAAGTCCCCACATACTTGAAGCTTGTATTCGGCTGCATTTGATGGCCAAAAAAATGGGTGTTTTTGTTTTTTCGCCGTCCTGCCAGGTGCAGGGAATGCCTCGCGACATAAAGTCTTTGAGGACTATGTGGGAACTCCGCAGTTCATGCCTAAAGAGGTCATCGAAAATAAGTGCAGCGACCATCGCTCGGACGTCTGGTCCCTGGGATGCACCATCTTTCAAGTCTTGAGCGGCTGTCCACCCTTTCATGACAGGCGGGGCAAAAAGTGAGGGCGAAAGGTCGATTTCAAAGTGAAACGAAAAACATATGTGTATCAAAGGCTGGATTATCTGGATTGGATCAACCCAGATCTTGGGGGGATAGTCATCGATCTGGGATTCTTATGACATGGAAACTCATGACTTACACTTTCCCGGAATTCTTGTTGGCCATCCATCTTTGGTGAGATCCCAAACATGGCCCAAGATCTTGAAACCCATCATTTCCATTCATTTCCAAGAACTGGATAAAGGGAAGATTTATAGGACACCATTGTAGCTCGTGGGGAGAGAGCAAGGGTCTTAACCCTTAATTTTTCCAATTTAAATCAATCCATGTCAGATTTAAGTTTGTAAATTTACAGTACGCGTATATATATATATATATGAATATATATATATATATATCTATAGATATACAGGAACATATATATATATATCCATGAATAAAACTATAAACTTTAATATATATATATATATATTATAGCTATAAACCCTAAAGTATAGCTAAACCCACGTTGGTGGCTCAGTGGTGCTTTTTGCTCTTTTTTGCTCTGGGGCTTGTGGGTTCGAACCCTCCCCCCTTAGGATCCCCTGATCATGTTGTGATGCTGCAGCTTTTCTGGACCAAGCTTTTGCCTGTGAGGTTGATTCCCGCATATCACAATGGCAGAGTGCATGCCATTGATGGATTGGGAGAGGGGAGTCCAGGTGGGTTGGTGGCAGGACATTGGTCCTACCACCTTGGAGGAGGGGTTGGAGGTGGATTGGTGGCCTTGGCAGGAGGTGGGGGAAGAGATGGTGCCTCTGGCCTGGCACAGGCACCCTGAGGGGTACTGGTGGCTTAGGCTGCCTGGAGGAGGTAAAGTCCTGTGGCACAAGCAGCTGTGGATGGACAGGAATGGGAGAAGGTTGGTAAAGGGGGAGGAAGTCCACCACAGGGATCATAGGAGGGGGAACAACAGGGTCCAGAACTTGGAGATGGTGAGGGTTTAGGGTTTAGGGTTTAAAGTTTAGAGTTTAGGGTTTTATATATATATATATATCCATGGTTTAGGGTTTAATTTATAAGTTTAAAAGTATATATATATATATATATATAAAATAATTATGTATATATATATATAACTCTATTATATACATATATTATAACTATATATATATATTTATTATTATTATTATTATTTATATATTATAATTATGTAAATATAGAATTTCATTATATATATATGCAGATTATCATTATATATATAGATTATAAGTATATATATATATACATATGTATATATATATATATGGCGTCTCAAGTCTGGTCTTTGTTTTATGTACAAATGGAAGGTTGCAATTTTCCGTTTGGTTTGTTTTTTTTTTCTGAGGCGACCTTTTCTTTCTTTTGGGGCCCTTTTGGGTGTTAAAAAAGGATCCTAAATTTGAGGCCCTTTTTCAATGCCAAACCAAAAGTAAAATCACCCATGGAAGGCATGAGGAAGGAAGGATGGAAGCAACATTGGATGGTCAACAGATGATAAACTTATACACTGACTGGTGTCGTAAGTCTGGTCTTTGTCCTATGTACACATGGACATCATGAGGACGGGAGGATGAACTTTGGATCAGCCAATTTTGACAGGCTGCATGGGGATGGATGCACTGATGTCTCAGTGGCTTCTTTGTAATGCATGCCAATATATCATGTATGTAGGTCTGAAAATGCGCAGGTAATGTCAGCCTGTCATAGTTTGTTCGTCTTTGTTTGTCATTGTCTTTGTTTGTCTCTGTGTTGTGTGTGTGAACCATCTGAAAAGATGAAAAACTTCTATCTTCGCTTTTCTAATGTACCTTCCGGTTTTGTTTACATTATTCCAGTTCAAGCAGGGGGGGTGCAGAGCACAGTGGAAACTGCACCCAACGAAGCTATCCACTTGTGCTGGAAGCAGAGTCTGATCAACTCTGTGTACCTGCTTTTAAATGTCGACTTTGGATTTCTTGATGGCGACCGGCTAAGCCTAGAACCGGCATGTCGTTTTCCAACATTTTCAAACCAAACTTCAACTTGAGGACCTCTTTTTGATGTTCAACGCCTGTGCGGTTTTCGCAATCTGTCAGGGAAGTCAATTTTGCATCTAACCAGGGCTATGGAGAAGTTCCGTTTTGACTCTTACTCAACTCGAGTCTGCTCTTCAACTCAATCCTGTCAGGTATAACTGGATTGTTTTTTGCACGTAAGATACATTCCACATCAGAATTGGCAATGAATGTTCTGAGCAAGTGTGTGATTCCGGGGAATGCGTTTCTAAGCAAAATGTGGATGCAACGGCCCGATGTCTGAATTTACACTTTTATTCTAGTAGTTCATCTAAGTAAAGTGAAACAGTCGTTCAATTTTCAGCTTCTTACCAATCTGTCGAGTGAGTGTTGAAACAGCTTGCTGCCGTACCTGGCGTCACCTTTTTGTCTGAATCTCAAGGGTTGGTAGACTGAAGCTGCGCCAACATTCCTTTTAACTGCTGCTCGAGAGTTTGACAGACAATTGCAACATGAGGATTCCAGGTCTCAGGACATGCTTGCAGGTATGGTGACTTTTCCTTTTCGGTCGTTGGTGAGGTTCAATTGTGCACGTAGTTCATTTGAATACTGGCAGCCGTCTATGGGGTTGACGTGACATTTAGGCCTTTGAGCCTGCAACAAGGGGAAATTTGCACGTTCGTGTGGATGTATCATTTCATTAACTAGTCCCCCATGGGTCCCCTATTTCATGTGTTCTCCTCTCTACAGGTAGGTTGGGTTCTGTGCGTGCTTAGGTAGGTGTAGGTTTCGCTGTGGTAGGTTGGTTTAGGCGCTTCCGTCCTCCCCCCCCTCCGCTGGTCTTGTTCTGTTTCCGTCGGCCTCCGCTTTTCTTTTCCCTTGCCCTTTCAGGGTTTGCCCGCTTTGGGCCAGGTTTGCCTGTGTTGGTGTTTGCTCCTTCCCTCTTCCTTTGCGTTCCCCTCTTCGCGTCCTGGTTAAGTAACTTTCATCTCATGTTCATCTTCCCCTCATCTTCATTTCCTTTCAATTTCATTTTCATCTCATTGTCCGGACCTTAATTTTCCCACCCTCCCGCGGGAGGGTGTGTGTGTGTGAACCATCTGAAAAGATGAAAAACTTCTATCTTCGCTTTTCTAATGTACCTTCCGGTTTTGTTTACATTATTCCAGTTCAAGCAGGGGGGTGCAGAGCACAGTGGAAACTGCACCCAACGAAGCTATCCACTTGTGCTGGAAGCAGAGTCTGATCAACTCTGTGTACCTGCTTTTAAATGTCGACTTTGGATTTCTTGATGGCGACCGGCTAAGCCTAGAACCGGCATGTCGTTTTCCAACATTTTCAAACCAAGCTTCAACTTGAGGACCTCTTTTTGATGTTCAACGCCTGTGCGGTTTTCGCAATCTGTCAGGGAAGTCAATTTTGCATCTAACCAGGGCTATGGAGAAGTTCCGTTTTGACTTTTACTCAATTCGAGTGTGCTCTTCAAGTCAATCCTGTCAGGTATAACTGGATTGTTTTTTGCACGTAAGATACATTCCACATCAGAATTCGCAATGACTGTTCTGAGCAAGTGTGTGCAGTAGGTAGGTGGTGTCCAGGCAAATCTCAGATTCAAGTAAATCTTTGATCTTTTCTGCTGATTTCACCCACGAACTGGTTCCCGATGAAGAAACATTTTGGGGGTTGTTGTCAGCAGAAACATTAGTAGTACTTGTCTGTAACAAACCCCTACATAATGATGATGGGATCACGCAACACCCATCTCATTGGTTGACTTCAACATTGTTGAGGGATCCTTGTTGAGTCGGGGAGGTTTTCAATCATCAGGAAACGATCATCCAAACATTGTCCTGCCGATTGCGCTGTCATCCTGGCACTGGGCCACTTCATTTCTGAACGTGCTGGTGGAGTTCAATCCATGCAGCTTAGCCTGAGTCTGAGCAGCTGCCTTCTGACTGGCCCTGCAAGAGAGATCCGCTGATGGACCAGATGATGGATCAACTTCGGAGCCGACCAATGGCCAGGTCAACTGATGGGCCCAGAGTGTGGCAGCCATGGCAGCAGTCGCTGCCAGAACTGAAGCCACAGCATGGCAGCAGTCTGCCAGCGTTTCGCAATGAATGAAGTGCGGCCAATGTTGAAGCCCCATGCTCGAGACCAGGGAGCACGCAGCAAGCGGCCTGGGATGTACAGCTTTGGCGTGACGTGGCCAAAAGCAGCATGCCCCAGCTTCCGGCGATCTCAACTTAGCAGGTCAGTCAGACTCCCTCTCTCCTCAGGGATTGCAGCCCTTGACATGATTCATGCACATGATTCATTTAAGAACCATGAAAACAATGTGTGTAGTGTACTGTATGATCAACCCCAAGTCTTGGGGGGATAGCCATCGATCTGGGATTCCTATGACATGGAAACTCATGACTTACACTTTCCCGGAATTCTTGTTGGCCATCCATCTTTGGTGAGATCCCAAACATGGCCCAAGATCTTGAAACCCATCATTTCCATTCATTTCCAAGAACTGGATAAAGGGAAGATTTATAGGACACAATTGTAGCTCGTGGAGAGAGAGCAAGGGTCTTAACCCTTAATTTTTCCAATTAAAAGCAATCCATGTCAGATTTAAGTTTGTAAATTTACAGTACGCATATATATATATATACACATACATACATGAATATATATATATATATACACATGAATATATATATATATAAATATATATATATATATATACATGAATATACACACATATATATACATGAATATATATATATATACATGAATAATATATATATATATATTCATGTATAGATATACAGGAATATTTATATATATACACAAGATATACAGGAATATATATATATATATTCATGTATACACATGAATATATATATATATATACATATTTATACAAATATATTTGTATATATTTACATGAATATATATATATATATGTATATTCGACTTTTATTCTTATATTATAACTATAAATGTAGAAATATACAGTATAATGAAATGAATAAATAAATAACTAACTATATATATATATATGAATTATATTTGTATTATATATATATATATATATTATACTTATGTATATGTATATATATATTTATTGTAAGTATATATGTAATGTATATAATAATAATATATATATATATAGTTATATCTGTATATACTAGATACCAAATTTCTCCCCACACATATCCCACAAAAAAACTTCCATCCATAGTGGTATCCAGCCATCGCTCTGGTCAGGTCGGAGTATCTCATCTTCCAACGCGTCATCGCCTTAGACCTGGTCTTTCCACCCGGCCTTGATCCGCAGGGCCGGGATCTGATCGCACGGATGGTGGTGGAAGATGCCGATCTGCGGCTGGGGGCGGCGGACATCGAAGATGCCTGGAGTTTGTTGGTTTGTTTTGAAACGCATCAAAGCAGTGGGACGTCTGTTGTGTTTTTATGTATTTTCTTGACTTTTGCTACTGTCCTTTGTCTTTCCCGAGTGTTTCTTAGAAACCGGGGATGACCCATCAGAAATGAGGGGCGAACCATCTCAACTTGGGGTACCCCCCGTAAATTCTGAGATAGATATGTGAAATTCACCATGATCATTCCTTAGGGCAGCCATATATTCTACAGTGTTGGAGGATACCCCTTTTCAATCTTTTCCACCATTGGTTTCACCACAACGATTTAAAGTGACAAATAACTTGGATGATAATTTCGGAGTGGAGCATTTTAAGAAACCCGCATATTGAGGTAACCCCAATGCCGCATCCATTTCCCATTCCAAAGGGGTTTGTGGAATATGCTGTCCCTGCCTTTTGGGATGATGTGGTTGTTTACTGGGGTGGTTTCTGACCTTGGGAGTATCACGTAAGATTGTCTTTTCAGGGGTTTGCAGATCACGGTTTTGAAGTTTTGGTTTCGGTCGTTTTTGAGATATATCCTTTTTTTCTGGTGCAAACCACGCCAGAAAATAGGTCAACATATTAGGATATTTTGATTTTCGGGAACCATAGCATCCACCAAGCCTTCCAGCCAAGGATGTGAAGAAACATCCATTCTTTCAGTCCCGCAGTTTCGAGGGGATTCACCGCGAACCAGTGCCTATGCTCTCACTGGCTGACTTGTGCCTGCAAAGGATTGCGGGGTTGGGAAGCCCAAACTTGCAGGCTTTGAACCATCAGATAGTTTGAAATGGGTCGTCGGGTGGTGTTTGAACTGGGTTTCAGGAGTTTGCTGGTAGCTGGGATGCAGATGGGATGTATCATATTATCAAGGAAGCAATCTTCCGAGTTACGGATGACTTTTACTCGGTGAGACTTTACATCATATAACAATACATTCATGAAGGGTGGTGTGAGACTTTGCATCACATAACAATACATTCATGAAGGGTGGTGTGAGACTTTACATCACATGACAATACAGTCATGAAGGGTGGTGTGAGACTTTGCATCACATAGCAATACAGTCATGAAGGGTGGTTTGGGACTTTACATTACATCATAGTACATTCACGAAGGGTGGTGTGAGATTTTACATCACCGAACAAAATATTCACGAAGGGTGAGACTTTACATTACACTTTGCACCGCATGGTTGTAGATCGCATTGGAATGGCTGCATGATTGTTGTCATCTTGTGTTGCCATGTGCGTAGACACATGCAAGCTTGCCACGTGATGCTACAAAACGCATTGTAATGGCTGCATGAATGTTGCATGGGGCTTGTGTTGGGGAGAACGCCGGAGCACAAAACCTTGTGTTTTTCCCCGTAAAGTGGCTGCAGGCGGCGATGATAGGTACCTTGTGTGTGCGGCGGTTGCGGCTGCGATCGTTTCATTTTCGAATCGGTTCTTCCTTTGGTGTTCTGCAACGTGTGGTTGTTCATGTGTGCGTAGTTCTATGCGTTTCTTGAACTTGTGATTACAGATCGCATTGGAATGGCTGCATGATTGTTGTCATCTGGTGTCGCCATGTGCGTAGATACATGCAGGCTTGCCACGTGATGCTACAAAACGCAGTGTAATGGCTGCATGAATGTTGCATGGGGCTTGTGTTGGGGAGGAAGCCGGAGCACGAAACCTTGTGTGTTTCCCCGTAAAGTGGCTGCAGGCGGCGATGAAGTGTACCTTGTGTGTGCGGCGGTTGCGGCTGCGATCGTTTCATCGTCGAATCGGTTCTTCCTTTGGTGTTCTGCAACGCGTGGTTGTTCATGTGTGCGTAGTTCTATGCGTTTCTTGAACTTGTGATTGCAGATCGCATTGGAATGGCTGCATGATTGTTGTCATCTGGTGTTGCCATGTGCGTAGATACATGCAGGCTTGCCACGTGATGCTACAAAACGCAGTGTAATGGCTGCATGAATGTTGCATGGGGCTTGTGTTGGGGAGGAAGCCGGAGCACGAAACCGTGTGTTTCTCCATGTAAAGTGGCTGCAGGCGGCGATGAAGGGTACCTTGTGTGTGCGGTGGTTGCTGCGATCGTTTCATCGTCGAATCGGTTCTTCCTTGGTGTTCTGCAACGCGTGGTTGTTCATGTGTGCGTAGTTCTATGCGTTTCTTGAACTTGTGATTGCAGATCGCATGATTGTTGTCATCTTGTGTTGCCATGTGCGTAGATACATGCAGGTTTGCCACGTGATGCTGGAAAACGCAATGTAATGGCTTGGGGAGGAAACCGGAGCACGACAACTTGTGTTTTTCCGTGTAAAGTGGCTGCAGCCGGCGATGAAGGGTACCTTGTGTGTGCGGCGGGGCGGCGTCAAAGTTGCTTGGTTCGCGGCTGCATGCGCAATACTATAAATCGTATTGGAGTGGCTGCATCAAGGCTGCGATAGTGATTTGTCAGGAGATTTTCTTCATTTTGGCGCTGGTCATTTCCCTTTTATTTTTTACAAAGTAGTACAGGGAAGTGCTTTGTGCAAACTTTGTACTACAAATTGCCGTCGGCTGGAGTCGGCGGATATACTTGAGGATTGCATCACATAAGATCCCGATTTTCCTTCGCAAAATCTGCATTTGTTTGGTAGCATGCCTCTTTTGTGAAGAATATCGTGTCCATTTCCCTATTTCTCTTTGGCTTCCCACTGCACTTGATTGCTGCTGCTCCCTTCGCCTTGGGAGGATTGGCACCAAACTGAAGGACTTCGTAAAGATTCTGCCGAGCTGGTCTGGCACTGGTAGCTTAGTGCTGACCCTCGGGGAGCAACTGGAGCGCATGCAGCAGGCACATCAGTGGCAGGAGGACGTGCTGCCACCGGAGGAAGCCTGGTAGGCTGGTGCTGAGAGGTGACGCCGGGCTAAAAAAGGGACCAACTGCTGAGCTGATGGGTCTGGAAAGCTAAACAAGAGCTGACCCGCGCCCCGCATGAAACTCAGGAACTCCGAAAACTTTTCACTTGAATGTTGGGGGGGCGGTCCTGCCACGTTTTTGAGAGTTTGAATTGAAACATCACCTCAAGATCTCTGTTGGCCTGGCTAGTCCTGCATCTGTATCTGTGGCAGAATTCTTGGTGGTAATCCCTTCGAGCTGCTTTGAATGGTGATTTGACATGGAACATTTCAGCATGTTACCATATGTTACCATTTTCCCAGCCCACGAGGCTCTTTATTTTTCGACCCATGACATGGAACATCCAGCCGTTGTTGAGCTGCGGGCATTGGAGAGGACTCCAAGTGCGTCCTGAACCAGAGACTTTTGGCTGCCAGTGGGGGATCCAAGCAACAGAAAGCAGAGCCCGGCTGAGGCGAATGTGGATTTTTTAGCATTGGGGACCCAGTAAACAGTCGAGGAACCCTCCATGGCAATTGGAAGAAACGCATTTCTTAACGCGGAAATCTGTTGTGAGGTTGGATTGCCGGAAAGTAGCGGTCATTTTGAAAGCAGAACGATTTGCTTTCATAGCCACAAGCACGACGGGTGGGTTGAATTTGCAAGAGATCCACAATATGGGGATGGGCCAAAGCATATTAGCCATTATTAGCCTATTACTAGATCTGGGGGATGATCATCAGAAGGGTACTAGGGTGAAGTGACCCACAGCCATATCTTTCAGATGTCTTCGCAAGGCTTTGACATGAACTCAGCCTTTCCGGAGGACTGTTTTCATGGTTTCATGAGGTCGAGATAATGACATTGGAGCCTTGAAGATTGCACTTGAGGAGGCCAGGAAGTGCTGGTTGGATTTCAAAAAGTGTTTGGGGCAATTTTTGCGCCCCTAAACTGGAGCCAGTTACTGGGTGGAAACCAGAGAGTTTTAGGTCAGAAAACCCTCTATTTTTGCCGCTTAAGCATCTGATATAAACCGTTTTTAAACCATGGACCATGAACATTGTTTAAATTACATCTCTAACCATACACATATTTAAAATTTTACTGATTATTCTATTTGCTGATATTTGCTGGTTACATGGACATGGTAAAACCCTCGACTTTTCGGACTTGACCCCCCCAGATGGCAGCTCTGGATTGCGCAGGGTGCCTACCTCGAGACGCGGCGTCCCTTTGTGATGCGGCCCAAGCCCCCGACGAGCGTCTGGGACCAGGCGGTAAAGTCCCAGGGTTGGTGGGTTCCCTGTGGCCACAAAATCATGGGGTTATCCCGGTTATCCTTGCATAAAATGGCTACAGCCCCACATAAGGCTAACTTTTTTGATCTTTTTGCTGGCAGGATCCGACGTGGAACTCCAAGAAGAGAGGCCCCAAGGAGGGGATGACACCACTGATGTGCGCCCCAGGGTGAGTCTGTTCCAATTCCGGTGCCGTCTGGCGTACCTCGAAGGAAAATCCAATCATCACATTTTCAAATTTGGTACGCTCTCGAAATCAAACATGGAAATCATGGAGCATCCCCCATTTCGTTCGATGATTTTCTGAATATATACATGCTTTGATCGCGGATTTCCCAGCCATGTTTGATGACACTGGAAGGTATCCATCTACAAATTTGGAATGTTCCATTACCACGTTTGATTACCGGGTGGCTCCTCCACAGGTATGCATCCCAGAATGGCTCCCCAGCCGCTGTCAGAATGTTGCTGCAGGCGATCCTGCGCTGCGTCTGGGGTTTGCGTCACTCTCTTTTTTTGCCCAGGAGACCACAGAAGAGCCATTGAACATACACACCCTGTTGATTGGCTAGGATTATACTATATATACACAAGTGGTTGATATATGGGTGACTATAGCATAGTCCCCTCCCAAAAATACTGTTTCCAGGATACAATTAGTTCGATGATGTTTCCCCTGTCACTTCCAGGTCTCCAACTTATCTATGTCTCGGGGTTGCTTTAGGCCCAAAATTTACCGGATTCCTATCAAGCAAGCAGGTTTTCATGGATCGGGCCAATTTTAATCGTGTATTATTTTCAATTTACGATGTTATCATCAGTCAATTTATCATAATTTGCAATGTCAAATTGTTGATCATCATTTTCAATGACAGTGCCATTTAAATATATTTAAATAGGATGGCGCCCATCCCACATGTTGAGACATGTGCCCTGCTGGCAACGGTTGGGATGGTCATCCCAAGCTGATGCGGCAGGCCAGAGCCAACTTCATGGCCAAAGACGAGGACGAGAAATGGGCACAACGCCATAGCAACAGGGGATGCTATTTGGGTGGTAAAAACACCAGAAGTTTCCAAATGTTCAAACAACATCCATTGAGGCATTGATGGTTGTTGGGTTTCTAGCCTACCTGCGAGCTGTGAGTCCAAGGGTCCCATAAAGGACACTGATCATCCGCCAAAAAATTGTTTTTTTATGCATCTTTACTTGGCCAAAAGGGGGATCAAAGCATGAGAATCAAGGATTTCACCAATGCATGGTGCATATCTTTTTTTTGTCCACGAACTTCGGTATAACTATCGTATCACTCAAAATGGCAATTGGAAGTGGGGGTGGCATATTTTTGGACCCCTGCTCGGGTCAAGCCCTATTTTTGGCCTCCAGCTATGGCAGCTTGAGAAGTTGACATGGGATGATGATTCCCACCGGCGGGCATTTTTTCATGGGGCTCAAACATTGACCATACCAGTACCATCTTTTGGGTACCATTCTTACCAAGACCCAGATGAAAGTGGTCGCTGGCTCCCACCCTAAAATGAAGCTAGAACCGTAAATCATCCCCAAGTTTATCGACCTGTTCATTAAAAAAGCGAGGTACAATCAACCGACGCCAAGAAATTGTGTTGATGGCACTAGCTTTACCACAGGGCCATGGAAAATTGCCCACTTATAGATGATTTTCCCATCAGAACCTCCGTTTTGTTTGGGGATGTCCCAGCCAGCCATATTTGATGACACCGAAGGGTATTAATATATTGTTGGTGAGATCCCATAAAACATCCCATAAAACATCCCCATTATATCACCATTATTGTTAGTCACCATTTTGGATGTTGAAGCACCTACCATGATCCATTAGATCTTCATGTTCGAAATGTTTGATGGGTAAACATCTCCATCTTTGTTCCAGAAATCACCATGTTTCTTGGATAAATGCATGGTTTTTCCTAGGAAAGCTGTCACAGCTCTGAACCATCCAGGATGGCATGCGGCCCTTGCATTTTGCTGCGCAAGCAGCATCACAGGAGGCAGGGCCTGGTGGTCAAAATGGGGATCCGGGCGACATGCCGATGTTTGATGGTTAGTCACCATATATCCATATTATATATATATATATCCATATAAATATAATGTCCATATAACTGTATATCGTATATCCATATAATGTCCATATATCTCCAGCAAAGATCATAGGGACTGTGGAGGAATTGCGCAAAAGGTTGCGACCTCGATGGTTTTTTGGATGATCCCAAAATGGCTGAGAGGTGCTGTTTTCATGGGGAGTCTTCGATTGGCATGTTTGATAAGCGGTATCCAGATTTTGGCCGGTCTTTGGTCTTGTGTAGTTCAGCTCAAGCAGCTCTGGTGTAGTGCTGAAGTTTTAAAAGTGCTTGGAAGCCCATTCCTCACGGAGTGGACGCCTGACATCCATCCGTGAGCCCAGAAAAATACTTCTGAGCAGTTCGAACGCCAAAATTCCGTCGACATCATCATGCCAAAACGGTCTCAATGGTTGGTGATGATTCAGCCACATGGTATGATTCATATCCCCAAGCCATTCCCCCAAGCCCCAACGAAAGTCCTGGAACCTTTGATATACCTAAAATGATGCTAATACACAGTGTCATACACATGTAGAACTAGATAGATTATGATAGATTCATGAATAGCATCACCATAGTTACAGGCTTGATCTCCCAACTTATGGGGGTTACCACAGTTACCCTCTGGTAAATAAACATAGACCCTGAAAATAGCCAATTTTTCATGGTTTCACTAGTCTTCCAACCCCTATCTGCCAGGGTCTATGTTACAATTTACCGGAGGGTATTATCCATGGATATTACAGGCTTGATCTCCCAACTTATGGGGGTTACAACCACAGTTACCCTCTGGTAAACTAACATAGCTATTGAAAATGACCATTTATAGTGGATTGTCCCATTAAAAATGGTGATTTTCCATAGCTATGTTAAATTACCAGAGGGTAACAGTTATTATCCATGGGTAACCCCAACTGCACGCCGATGCCACTCGTCAGGTGTGCAAACTCTTGGTGCAGAAGGGCGCTGACACCTCCGCCACAGCTCGGCAGCCCAGAGCGGTTTGCAAACCAAAACCAACCGCTATGGGGATATAAATAGAGAAACATGTACGTGTATATATATATATGATTATACATATAATAATAATAATAACAATAATAATAATAGTACTAATAAATAAATAAATAAATTAATTAATTAAATAAATAAATACATAAATAAATAAATAAATAAATACATATATATATATATATAGCGATCGATCTAAAGGTCTCGCGAAAGTTTTTATTGCAAAGATCGTTCAGGTTATGTTGGGAACCCTTGCGACAGGTTTTATTTTCGAGTTCGCGAAAGTAACATTTTTATTCGCGAAAGTTTCGCGAAAGTTGGATATTATGAATCATTTCGTATACATGTAAAACTTGTAAAGGGCTACCCCTGCTGCCCGGGGGTCCGGCAGGAGAAGGGTATTGTACTGGAGACTTTCGGTTTGGTTCTGGTTCAGTATTATATAGATAGATACATAATATAAATACGTGTATCTATCTATATATATATATATATATGAGCAGGGACCCCCACCCCCCCCCCACCCAGCCAGATGGTTCCCCCCCCCCGTGGCAGGGGAGGGGGGTTTTCTCAGCAGCCAAGCCATGGTGTATGTAGTCTTTATAGTGAATATAATGCATATGTATCGATAATTAGAATGGATATACTATATGTAATATA